AAGGGAAGGTTAGGATTGATTTCATGGAACAGATCAAAGTAGGTGCACAAATCCTTATACACAAGGAAGGGAAAACAAGCAATTTCACTGGGGCTTGTCCAGTGTAGGAAGTTAAAACCCACCCCTCTGCTAGAAAAGAGAAATATCCTGGTAAATATTAAGAAGGCAGACTATTATACTTCCCTGGATCAGAAATGGAGAAACATGTTTTTAGGCAGGAAACAGACTCACTCTTAATAGCCCCCACTTTTGTTAATGGGCCATTAAAAAAGTCTGGGCCAGTCTATTCTACATAACAAAGACCCTTCCCCTTCAGCTCCTGGATGATGGAATTAAGGTATGATAGTATTAGCCCTTTACCCAGCTCACTACATGGCATCTGGGACTCAAGATAACCCAGAGAGTTCCCCCTGCATGGCCCCATCCGAGTCTGACAACCAATCAGGATACATTTCTTACACAGGAACAGGAAGCAGAGAGATGGGGCCGAACAGAATATAAAAAAAACCAGCAAGCCCCTTCTTTTCTCTCTTTTTCTTCTTCACTCAATATCTTGAAGCATGTGATCACCTTTTCTGCTCAGGACCTCAAGCCATGTGGTCCTGTCCACCACTAAACCATTTTTCCAAGCAGCCTCCATGTCTCCATGTGTCTTTCCCCCCACTTGGAGCTGAACCCAGAACGACATTTCTTCCAACACCCGCTTGTCAGCTGCTTCTAAATAGCCCAAGGATGTGATGCAGAAGAAAATTATAACATTGCAAAATAATTTATCTAATTCTGTCTATGACTAGCTAATAGGGGCTGTTCCTCACACAGCCAGCCTTCCTCACAAATGTGAAGGAATAAATTCTGAATCTGTTCTTCTAATAAACTATAACCTGGGAGCCTCTGGGGATGTCTGAGCACCTGTGACTTATTACAGCATAAAAGTGGAAAGAGACAGTTCTAAGTGCAGATGTTTTGCGTAGTTTAAAACAAATATACCTTTCTTTAAAAATGCGCACAGCAGCTCGATGAGATGAGATGAAAACAAGTAGGACCAACTTCCAACAGCAACCGCGTTGAACAAAATAGTAGAAACAAGTTGTGGTTTGAGTTTTAATAATAAATAAAACGATCAGATTAAACTAAAACAAAAAAAAATGTGCCTTAGGAAAATGAGCCCAAAAGGAAAAGCTGCAAAATGTGTCCTCAAACATAATTGCTTTGTTTTGTACATCAAGAAAGAAGAGGCTAAGAGAATGAAAGCGAGGAGCCGAAACAATCTGAAACAAGAAAAGTTCAGTCACAACATTTGACACCTAAAAAGAAAAAAATTAAAGAGCGGATGAAGTGGCTTTTCATCAGCTCGTGATTTCACAACATCACAAAGCTTCCTTTACTGAGAGGAGGAACCAATAGGTAAGGTTAGACCTGATTCTTTGCCAATTGGGGAAAGAGCATCCAGCAATTCTAAGAGAAAAGTGGATTTCTTGCCTTTTAGCAGAGCCAGCAATGGGTGCAGCAATGGGGGCTCCCAGCTGCACAGCTAATCCAAAGCAGTGCAACACACAGACACCCCTCCCCAGGTTACATACCTCCAAAACTTACTGTTTTCATTGCAAAATTGGCTTCAATGCTATGTTGGGATGAGCTATAAAAATAAGATATATTTTCTCTGATTTAGCAGTTTGTGTCAGGGAAAAAGCACCATATTGTAGAAGGCACGTAACAACTGGGCAAATGCAATTGCATACAATGACCCCAAAAAATGCAGGGCGCTGAGACTTGGAGTTGCACTCAGTCCCTCCACCCCACTTTAGGGGCTGCAAATGCCACATTGTTATCTTGAGTTAAAATAATGAGGAACATAAGTGAGATACCTTCTGCCCATCAACCTCAACATTTTAGCTTTCTTCATTCAAGTCAGTGTTATCTTCCTCCACAGTTTGTCGAAGGGCTCTTGATTTTCTGGCAGGCACTTCCCTCAAGCGTTTCTCCATTCCCACTCCCCCACCCCACAAGCAAACATCACCAGAATATGCTGGGGATGAATTTAGGAATTTGGCTACGACCCTTCTCCCAACTGACAGCAAGTCCATGATAGGCAAGCTTGTTAGCCTGGCTATAGTCTAGAGGTGGTATTCAGCTGGTTCTGACCAATTCTGGAGAATCAGTAGCAGAAATTTTGAGTAGTTCAGAGAAGCGATAAATTACCACCTCTGGTATTTACCCCCTATCTATTCTCTGCTTCCTGAGTCCCAGCTGATTGGGAGGAAATGGGAATTTTATAGTATCCTTCCCTTGCCACACCCACCAAGCCATGCCTACAGAACCGTAGTAAAAAAAATTTGAATCCCACCATTGCTGTAAGTCACATGAAGCAACTTTTATTGCTTCAAAGATTGTCTGCAAGTCTGGTGCTTGTTTTGTTGCTTGCTTTACTTTGGGACACAGATCTAATTCTTGATTTTATCTGTACACAATTACATCATAATTACATCATTACAGTATATTCACACACCTTTCCCTCCTTGGTGCCTTCCAGGTGTTCTGGGCAAAGACTCAGCATAATTTTGAGTCAGCTAGCTGGGGGTTATGGGAGCCGTGCTCCAAAACCTTTGAAGAGTGCTGTGGTGGGGAAAGCTGACCGAATCGGTGAAATAAATATCTGCACAATATTCATTGTGAAACCAGGCACACTTTTGCCCTTTCGAAAACTCATTTTTCAATTCTGTTCTTTCTCATCCTTCTTTCTCGCCTAATCTCACGAGATACCTTAGATGCACTTCATAGCTTGCAACTTTATTTATTTTCCTTGTGGTAACTCCAATTTCACGCACCAGAGAACCACTCTGGTGTGGCGGTCGGAATGTTAAAATCATGGACTTTTGTGAAAAAGCAGAAAAATACCAGAACGCCAATATATATTCCATAATACAAAGAATTTAGAAAATTAACATTCAGATGAATCCAGAACTTTGCTCTTACAGTCACTCAGCTAGAAAAAGCTCACAGATGATTGATTTATATATGTGGTGACTGCAGTGAAGCTGTTGTATGCACAAAGACGGAAGACCAATAATGGAGGAATGGATTGTGAAAATGGCTGAGTTTGCAGATGGCTGATTAAGGAGGGAAGGTTTACTTTTATAAAAGCCTGGAAACTATAGACTTCTTTTTGCTGGAGATGGATAAAAATGAAGTGCAGATTTCAGGATTTATTGATTCATGAGGTTTGTTTATGGGGAACTCTGATATGCAATACAGGTAGGCGGAAATGATCGTTGCTATGTTTGTAACTGCAGCAAAGAAGATCGTAAGTCATTTCTTTAGATATCTTACTTTTTCTTTCTTGTTTGTTGTTCTTCACTTTTTCTTTTTACCCTTTAGCATTTTTGTATTTTTTCATTTCTTCTTCATCTTTCTATGACTCTGTACTTTTTAAAATCTTTGCAAAATTGTCTTTTAATAAAAATTAATCATTAAAAAAAAATTAAAGCGACATTAGGAGAGATATAGGTTTGGTTTAGCCTCAACCATGGAAGCTTACTGTAAAATTTTGAACCAGTCACTCAGTTCAGTCTACCTTGTTGTTTTATTTATTTATATCCTGCCTTTATTATTTTTACAAATAATTCAATGTGGCAAACATATCAAACACACCTTCGTCCTCTTATTTTCCCCACAACAACAATCCTGTGAAGTGGATTGGGCTGAGAGAGAATGATTTGCCCAAGGTCATTCAACTGGGTTCCATAGCTAAGTTAGGACTTGAACTCGTGATCTCCTGCTTTCTAGCCTGGTGCCTTAACCATTAGACCAGTGGTTCCCAAACTTGGCAACTTTAAGACTTGTGGACTTCAACTCTCGCTCTGCTGGCTGGAGAATTCTGGGAGTTGAAATCCACAAGTCTTAAAGTTGCCAGGTTTGGGAACCACTGCATTAGACCAAACTGGCTATATACCCACTTTGACCTCCTAAAGACAGTTAGATAAAGATGATAAATTAATTGATAAAATAAGCTTACTTCTGAATACAAACCCATTGCATGGCATTAAGGCAGACCTGAATAGTGATACCCTCTATGTATTTTTTAAAGTAATATTTTCCATATTGGTACAATTAAGAGTGTATCAATTCCCCCCCCCCAAAAAAAACCCTATAAATAAAGATGAAAAAAAGAGGAAATTGTACATGATGGTAATTGCCATAAATATAGCTTCAGCCACCCACTGCTTTCTCATTTTCTAAAATTGTTTAGTTCTTCTGAATCATGCAGATGAATTTTCTGGGGGAAGGAAGGTTGATATACTGAATGAGCCATGGTGGCACAATGGTTAGAATGCAGTACTTCAGGCTACATCTGCAGACTGCCGATTGCCAGCACTCTAGCAGTTTGATTCTCACAGGCTCAAGATTGACTCAACCTTCCATTCTTCTGAGGTGGGTAAAATGAGGACCCAGATTGTTGGGGTCAATATTGCTGACTCTGAAAACTGCTTAGAGAGGTCTGTAAAGCACTGTGAAGTGGTATATGAGCCTATTGCTATTGCTAATTGTTGTAGTTGTGGGAAGATTTGATGCCAGAAGAATGGGAAGCTATTTGCATTATAAGCCTAGAGGTGGATTTGATGGGATATCCTCAACATTTGCCAATGACAGACTGCCATTCAACAGGCAAAGCTTTTCACAACCTAGAATTTTGCCAGTCTGATGCCTGCCTTTAAAAAACAACAACCGGGTAGCTCCGTGTGATCATGAGCTGATAGTAAGCAAAGAGCTTTCTTGATGTCCTCCAGATATGCATATTCCCATCAGCTTTGCTAAACCACAGGACTGCAGATTGGGGAAGAGAGATAGCATGGGGCTGTGATAAGTCATGCTTCTCCCTTGGCCATGAAAAGCTTCATCTGTTAAAGTCCCTCCCATCACCAACTCTTTCTTGTTGTCTGTTCAGCTCTTAGTTAGTTCCCTCTCTGGAGCTGGTTCAAGGACAGGGGCTGTCCCTCTGTGTGACCTCTCTGCTTTCTTCTCAGCCCATATAACATAAGGAAAGATGCATGCACCAGCAGAACCGAGAACAACTGGAGGAAGTCTCTGATCAACTCGGTTACTGCTCCTTTGAACCAAGAAACAAATCTTAAGGCTGTTCCTCTGCCTGTCCAGGGAGATCCCTGTCCCAAGCAGCTCTTACAACCAGGTGTACCAAGAGGTGGAATGTGGTAAGTTCTCCTTGTAATTCTGGTCTGTTTATTTGGTTTTATTTGCAAGGTGTGGAAGTATTTTTGTCTCAAACTGAAGGGGAGAAGTCAATGCAACTGTTATTTGCTATGGGTCGGCTTTTGTACTTTTGAAAGGCATCACTGTTTGAATGAACTTATGATGGTGTTTTTCTTCTTTAAAAAAAAGGCCACCACCAATACTCCATCAAGGGCTGCTATATGCTCACTGCTGTGAATGGCACAGTCACGCTAGCTAGGCAGTAACTGGCAATCACACAATGGGATCCAAAGAAGGAAGGGAAGTAATGCCCATGAATTATCACCTTACTGTAAATTGGTCCCCCTCCCCTTCTCACCCAGCCACTTTCTCTTCCTCTTGGCATGTCACACTTTTCAGCTCTGGTGTTTAAGAATGAAAAAGTCTGAGGTTACAGGGACAGGGTCAACACCCTTATACATAAAGAATATATGACTATTTTAAAGAATCACTTGGCTTCCCAACTCTATAAATGTTTCGTTTCTGAAAAGGAGCCTCTGTGCTTACAAGATATATGCCCACCTGTGGTAATGACATACACTTCGCATTAGTAAGCCTGGGAAGAGACTGATCTGAATATGGGTTTGTGACAGGGCACATTTCCCCCACTTCCAATTATTTAACAAAAGCAGCAGGGGAAGCATTTGCCCAAATTTTAAATGATTTTGATGAGATTGAGGAAATTAGAAAGAGTTTGAGCTCAGAAAAAAATATATCATAGTAAAGAACAATCTAGGTGTCAAATTCTCCTGCCAAGCTCTGGCTGAAAAATACACAAGCAATATCCTCCAACTGAATTCTGCCCTGCAATTTTCTAACATTCTTAGGTGTAGAAATTAAAGGGGTAGCTTTGTTTAAATATTAATTCTGAAATCATAGGTGTTTATGCTACATAAAATAATCAAATCCTCATTATCTCTGGAATATCTTCAATTTCTCTAATGTACAGTACTTTTGTTGGATAAAGTGCTGCATATATATCTTTTTGATTTTAATATGATTTTTATTTATTTTTTATTTATTAACTTTATATAATGTCCATCTCATTGATAAGGCAACTTACAAAATAGTATAAACATAAATATAAAAACAAAGTTAAGAAAACCTGCATTAGAACTAAACTAGGACTTGGTTATTTACAATTTGCAAATGAAGCATTGCTTTATTGTGGCCTCATGTGTCTTTGTTTTTTTACAAAAGAGAAGTAGTAATCCCTTAATTCGGGGCAGGGGCAGGACAACTAGATAGAGCTGAGCGTTTAATGGCCAGATGCCCTTCCTGATGCCTACATGGAGTTCACAGCAGATATTTTTTCTTTTCACCCTAAGAGAGAAACTACCTAGGTTTGAACTCTCAACCTTCTTAGTGGAAGGAGAGCACCTTCACCACTAAGTTACCACACTGCTGTGGCCACATAATAAAACATAATTTTTGTTTGTTTGTCTGTTTGTTTATTATAATATTTATATAGCTTCCCATCTTTCTTGGGCACTTCCCAATACAAAGTCATATAGAACACAACCAATTAAAAAATACAATAAAAATCAGTTCTAACATGCAATTATTTAGTCTTTGCCCAATGATTGAGGGAAAAGCTATGTTTTCAAAACATTATTTTCTGGATGTTTTTCTATTTTTATTGTTTTTAATTGTTTTAGAATTGCAAGTTGCCCAGAATCACTTGATAGATTTGGCTATAAAAAAAATTGAATGAATGAATGAATGAATGAATCAATCAATCAATCAATCAATCAATCAATGGAAGCCTGCCAGACTTCAGGGGACAGATTATATATGTATATCAAATATGTCTATCACTTAATAAAGTGTCTAGGTTCAAATCAAAAAAAATTTTTCCTTCATATTGTTTCCCATTAGGTGGGCCTATAATGCCCAATCAGCTACGAAGTTATCTTCTTTAGGTGTGTGTGTCTATATCTGTATATATGTGAGTGTGTGGCGTCCATGCAAATGCAATTCTGTTCTCTAAATTTGCAGTTGTTTTCCTGTCATTTTTCAAAGATATAATGTGAAGGATTATGTGATGGTTTTTACAATCCAACTGGATGTGTTTATATTTCCTGTATCTATTCTTCCAATGCAAAGCCAGCATCTGCAGTTCTTTAGCTTAGTTGTACTAACTTCTGTGGAGCATACAAAGGGCTCAATGACTACCTTTGTTCCTCAGAGCTCCAATCCATCAACACTCTTAGAGGGCAGCAGGAAACCCATGCAGCTGGAAGCTGGGCTGTGTGTTTTTACTAACTGGCAGTGGAAATTTCAAGCTGCTGTTCTATTTCAAGTTTTAAAATGTGAAGTGAGAAGCAGATCATTTCTTTGGAAATACCCAGATTCTTCACTGACTTTTTTATTAATTTATTGCTCCGAATTAGTTTGATGCAATATAATGGTTCCTTTCTAGTACTAGGGTGTCTTTTACTATTAGGAAGTACCACTGTCTTCACTTCACCCACAGTAGAAGATAACTTCTTAGCTCAATTTTTTTGGGATGGGTGACGTAGCTTATGTTTCTTCCCATGGAATCTCTACTTGCTCTTTTCTCTGTACCAGAGGTGGTATTCAGCCAGTTCTGATAGGTTCTTGAGAACCAGTAGTGGAAATTTTGAGTAGTTCAGAGAACTGGCAAATAGGCTGGCCCCACCCCTGCTGCCTCCCAGCTGATCTTCTTTTGTTGCCCTGAACAGGAGAACGAAGCTGGAAAGCAGGTTAATGAGATGGGGAGGGAATGGGGATTTTGCAGTTACCTTCAACTGCCATGCCCACAAAACCACGCCACACCCACAAAGCCGCGCCCACAAAACCAGTAGTAAAAAAATTTGAATCCCACCACTGCCCTGTACCTTCTACTGCAGGGTTTCCCAACCTTGGCAGTTTTAAGACATGTGAACTTCAACTCCCAGAATTCCTTAGGCAGCTATTCTGAATTCTGATAGTTGAAGTCCACAAGTCTTAAAGTTGCCAAGGTTGGAGACCACTGCTCTAGTCTAATGTTTCTCAACCTTGGCAGTTTTAAGACATGTGAACTTCAACTCCCAGAATTCCTTAGGCAGCTAGAGAATCCTGGGAGTTGAAATCCACACATCTTAAAGTTGCCATGGTTGGGAAATCCTGTTCTTCTGGGTCAAATGGCAAATTGCTGTCTATCTCTGATTAAAGAAAGAAGATAAAGCATATTGATTCAAACAGGGCAATTATCCACAATATATTCTAGTTCATGCTCTGGAGTGACCTCCGGAGTGAGATTTTCTAGAAATTTCAGTAAAGGAAGCACGAGAAAAGAAACCTGATTCAAGTGTCTTTTGTTTGAATAATAGTAAGAACACAACAAGATTTATTTCTGATATAAGTAAAGCATCAAGGAGATGTGGTGAGTGACTTAGTCTTTTTAGAGAAGTAAACCCAACTGGATGTATTTGACAAAGTGTGTTTGGGATATGGAGAGAACCCTCTTTTCTTAGAAGCCAAGCATTTCTTTGGAATAATATTTGGGACCTGTTGAGTTTGACTCTATTTGGCTTACATTGACTAAATGATCAGAATTGCAGTTTTCAAAGATGAACTTGCTTTCACAGAAATAGGCAGATTTGCTTAGCTGCATGTGGGGATGTAAAGTGAAAAATCATGATATTTTCTTTGTGAAATATTCATCTGTCTTCAGGGAGCATTTTGTTTTTACTCAATCATTAGTTATTCATTTTACTTGTTGTGTATGAAGTGATTTTGTAGATAAGGAAGAGGAGTAATGATGTGATAGGGCTATGCTTCCATCATGCCAAAGATTTTTGTTCCGGGCAATTTTGGATTCACAGATCTCAGACAGTAGATAACAGGAAAGAGAACAAGTAATTCTTCGTTTCCACATACTGCTTCAAGATCACATCTTCCTTTTCACCCATTTAATCATCCTGTCACTTCAAAATCGGGAGGATAAAATGAGGAATGTTGCAGATGGACACACCTCTTTCTATTCTTTCCCCAGAACTGATGCATAATGATAATAGCTTCAGATAGATATCTATTTTTCAAAAAGGGTATTTCACTTTTCTTACATCAGATTTCATAAAAACTGTTTCATAATTCAAGTAGGGTTGTTTCTGCTGCCTGTACATTTTCTCATTCCCAAAACATCTCTGGTTTTCCACCCATTTAGCGAAGTTGTTGTTGTTGTTATTATTATTATACAATTGTATCACAGCGGCCAGTTGTTTCGCCGGATTTGGCATTGGTTACTAGTCGGGCCCCACCCAGGGGCCTAGGACGTCGTAACGTGCCAATTACCATTGGAATTATCACTGCTGGTTTGTGCCATAGTCGTTGAATTGTGCCAAGGGTTTCTAATCTTCCTTTCATGGGTACCATTCAATATTCATATCCAGTTATTACTT